GAAAAGAGGGCTGCCTCTGCTTCAGTGTCCCCAGAACGGTCTCACGAGAAACCGGAGTTGCCGAAGCATGCGAATCCTGTCAAATCTCGCACCAGAAACCACCGCTCGTCCAAGTCAAACTCGGAGACCAGTCACCGCTCCACCGAACGCCTTCCTCCATACGACTGCTACAATGGCCAAGACGACCGGGGGGCCATGTTCTCTCACCAATGCACACGGCAACTGTCAGCGTCACCCCCACCTGTATTCTCATACCCCTCGTATCCCCATCTAGACCCATACAGACAGTCCAACTATGGCACCTCTCCCGCATACAGTTCCACTTACAGTGACCTGTCGTCATTTCAAGGGGAGTATGGAACCCCGGTGCCTTCAATCATGCCCGTTGCAATGTCTGCAGGCGGGCCGCTGAAGAGACCTCATACCTTTGCAGACGAAGAGATCATCAGTCCCTTCAGTATGAGCTATGCGACTATGGCTGGCATTGACTTGTGTCCGACTCCTCACCATCCGGTTGAATCTAATATTTCGGTACGTGACCTATCTCCTGGCCTGCATCGATGCCATCCACGAAAAGAAAGAAGCAAGAAAGCTGACTCGGTATTCATTAGATCCCATCTCTCTGTCAAATATTCGCTGAGGATCATTCCTCTCCGTCGACACCCGCAGAGGCGTCCATGCTCACATGTCCTCTCACACCCGAGTCGGACTCGTGCTCCCCGCATTCATTTCCCTTTCTGTGATTGAGCTGTCGTTGCTTATTTGAGTTGTTGAATTAATGATTTCTCTTAATGATGTTACGATACGCTTGGCCGGATGGGATAACACTTGGATGTTGCTCTCAGCGGCGATCTTGGCTTCTTTTTCCTCGCTCATTTTGGACTTACATTCGCTCACGGGCTGAATAATCGTGCTCGGAGAACATCTCCGTTCATATGAAGGTTTCTGGGATTTTGGAATGCCCATGTGGCATTTAGGGAACAGATTGATGCATGACTCGGGGCGTTCAATTGTGGTTTACACTAAGAGACGGAACTTCATCTTGGGAGTTGCAATGGGAATTGGCAGCAACGCCGACTTGGTTCTCTCTTTTTTTTTTTTTGTCCATGTCCTTTTTGCCCGTTTTGTCTTCCGGTTCAATTTGGATTTATTAGAATAGCATATGGATTTGTCACCAAACAATTGGCCCAGGGTCTTTACTCTGATCATCATGAATAATATCAGTACTTCTGTACTACAGCTGCGGAGGAACGGCAACTTGATGCGCCGACTCCGAGACTGTAGGACGTATGGTAAATCGGGTATGTTCCATGTATTAGCCCGTATTGGTTGGTTTTGGCCCCCAAAACTCCACAAACACTCCCGTCCATTTCTGCTTGTGCACCCATTCTTTGGGCTTTTCGAGTGCCAGGATTCCATTCCATCGCCATCCGTCTCGAACTTCGCATTTCTGGCTGCCTGCTCCAAAAGGATCAAGGTCCCAGTCAATAAATAACATACACTATAATTTGATAGGGACAAGGGATCAGTTTGGGTGGATCGGAGCGAGTTTCCGAACAATGTCAACAGTCAACACTGTACGTCGACGGAATACTCCGTAAGTACTCAAATTGCCAGGCGACGAATACGACAGTCCCTCCGAGCCAATCCGTCCTACTCCTACACCTGATAGGGAGACCGATGACTCAGTAGTCACGGTCCACTGCAGCTTTCCATTGGCAGGGCCAGAAAAACGATTGGTTTCGCGCTGGAAATTGCGTTGGTTTGGTCGCGGTGTCCCTCCTTGCCAGTTGCCATGGGATAGAAGCCATTCTTGCCCGTATCATTATTCTTCTAAATTGGCACTCGACAGATGCCACGGGCCAGTTGCTGGTTAGTTCTCAGTGGGGCTCTGCGCAAGTAAGTCCTACTAGTCTAGTACTACTAGTAGTAAGTACGTACGAACCATCGAGCATGCTGCGCCTCCACAGCTCCAGCCTGATGTGGTACAGTGCATTGGTCAAGGAGACACGGGCCACTGGCAAGGGGAATCAAGCGAATTCGGGTGGCCTTGGTACTTCCTGGACTTTTGCTTTGGACTGTGATCAATTGACCTTGTGCTACATCCATGGACAGCAGGTGGATGATGTCCTGCTCCCTTTCCTTTCCGTGTAAGACAGGGAGACTGGAGCAATTCGGACTGTCTCAGCGATATGAACTCAAGTGACGACTATCTAAGTGTCCGTTGCGGGCATGAATTTCCACTTGCTGAAGCTATATCCTGGAGCAGGATTACTCATCAATTTGAAGCTGCGTCTTGCTTGATTCATAATCTCATCATGACAGGATGGGTCATTATTCCACTTGTCGGTCCTGCATGCTCGATGATGCTATCAATTCTAGCTCCATACAGAGTAGTTAATCCTTATCTCAACCCGTCAGCGCATATGCAGATGTCTCTGCGCAGAATTGGAACCAAATGGGAAGAACAATGATTTCTAATTCCTTCGTCTAATCGTCGATTCTGATTCTGCCTTTCAAAGGAGCAGTCTTCAGACCACTCAGGGGTGCAAAACAGCCAAATTTACACAGTTGGTCCAGGCCATCAAATCGCTTTCGATCTCGCCTAGGCTACAATCATGTTTGAGGATGATCGATACTCCCTACTGGAAGCTACGACGAACGGATACCATTCACTGTTTCGAGTCAGTCCTAGGTATTGAGACAGAGTAGTACATCAGGCGCAGACCAACCAAAATGTCTTAAGACTGTTAGATACGAGCTCGCTTCTGGTTTTGTTCTTCAAACTCGGCTATGACTATGAGCATACGGAATTGTCCGTGGACGCTGGAGAGTGGACACACAAAGCGAAGATCCTTTGATACCCTTCCGTTTGATTGAGCATTTGACTGGGTTTGGTCCTCCGTAGGGTCTTCACTCTTCAGCCTTATGTCTGTGCGGATCATGCGGAGTGACAGTGACCGGCAGGCTTCAGTAGTAGTAAATCATCAGCAGTCAGCACAACTCAGCCCTGATTTAGCCGTCTGTCCATGACAGCTTGAGAGGCGGAGACCATTCTTCGATGTACTCCGTAGGATCAAGAGTCAAGACAAGACATCCAGCTTACGATTTAAGCTCGCGAAACTGAATGCTGACGGTCCGCTCTAGCGGGTTTTCTTTCTCTTTTCTTTTTCTTTTTCCCTTTGACTTATCTAATTTGATATTCCAGTAGGAAATGCCGCGTTCTGGCGTCGGGCTGAACAAACGGCCGAAAGATCAAACCCCGACGCTTCATCGAAGCTGCGATGGTAGAGATCCCGTACCATGACTGTGAGATCCTTCCAGCCCTCCACAATAATCACAAAAAAGAAAACAAAAGAGAAAAAAAAAATAAAAATAAAAAATAAAGAGAGACTGCATTGACACCAAGCAATGTGCGATGGTACGATGAAAGCGCACGTTACATTATTGTCATTCAAGACGGTTACATGGGGGTGAACTCCACCAATCGTGTCAGGTAGTGAGACCCCAAACCATTTGAGCTCGTATACGGGTAACCAGTAGATAGATTAGATTCTCCGTATTGGCTTCAAGACTTCGTCTAGGTACAGTGAAACAAGTGCCAGGCAGCAGATCAAGTGGAGATCCTGTCATTGTGTAACCCAAAGCGGCTCAGAGGAACCGCGTCCATTCGACAAGCTGCACTCGACCCCTCCAAATCCCAGGCCAGAGGGGTTAGGAACATCACTTCCCGTCTTCGGTTATCCCGACTCACATTTTAAAGAATATGTGAGCAAATAATAATATGCAGACAAAGAAACTCAAATCACAGTGTCACAACCAAGCCGCAGACTTCGATGATGCTTCAACCTCGACTGAGCTCACTGGCAACGACGGCGAAAGCCGAGCGAGCCCCTCCCCCTTGCATGATGGAACTACTATGCAGTATGAGCAAATAGATTGTCCCCTTGGTGCTAGGTAGAAAGGTGTTCACTGTTCACCCTCAATGATTGCCCCCCATGCAGATGATTATTGACTCTGTGATGGTGACATGCGAATAGGAAATGCTTCACAAGGAATGATGTTGGCAACAAATCATCTGATGGTGTCCATGACAATCCGTCTGCTTTGATTTCAAATGATTATCAAGCATCACCCATCATCTTACATCATCTTCTGTATTGCTCCTACTCAAGCTACTCCAGATAAGGCAAATGGTTCAGAGCCCACAGAGTAATCGCCAAGTGATAGACTACCTTAGTCTCCTCTGAAGATTACGGCGTGCTCAACGCCCGTCAGAGCCAGCCATCTGACTGACATCTAGAACGGGCCCATCGTGCCCATTATTACAGGCTTACAGCAGAAATCGTGACCGACTCCACGAGGGGAGTCGGTGCGTGGCTAAAAAAAGGACTTCCACGTTCTGATTTGACAGTTGATACTACCGACAGTTCGTTGGTCCATCAGTTTCATACTGTGACATCTGCAGTATGAGACTTGGGGTCGGAATGTAGTCCAAGCCAACTCAGGCAGACATTCTTGAGGGGAACGACTCAAATAAACTTGGCAACATTCGAGGATCGCGGTCTTGCCATAGGATCTCATGTCCCGATGGTACAAGGCTGGTCAAGCTTGGTAATAAATCATGACAATTCCATATGATTTCCCTCTTGTACTGTACTTGAACTTGATAAGCTGTATGCCCTAAACACAGAGAACATAGAAGTCAACGACGCCTTGATGCAGGTCAAAAAGATCGAGAAACAAAGACATATGTTCCTCCGACATTAGAGAAGTCATTCCCATGAGCAGATGAGGTTTCTTGAGGTAGTCTCGGCGCGCGCACACACACACAAAACATCAGTAGATATGAACCAAAGTGGTGAGAAAAGAAGATAAAGGAAATGGAAAGAAAGGAAAAGCTTTAAGCGATACAGTTCCTATCCACATCAAAATGACAAAACCCCAACCGTCGGTATCACAGCTCGATCATATCGTCTCCTTCCAGCCGGCAGCATTTATCAACCTTCCACCCCGTTGATGCTCATCTGATCGGGATTATGCCGCCGTCTCCGCATGGGCGCTTTCTTCCTAGCTGCGATTGCGGCTGCATTCTGTGCTTCAACAATCATCTCGGTATCGCCGGCATTGTTGGCTGAGCCGTGGATGGCCTCGTACTGCGCCAACTCGTCCAACTCCCGGATATCCGTCGGCTTCATCCGCAGCCACTTCATGCGCGGACCGACTCTGGATCGCTCCGAAACGCGGAATCCGTAGATCTTCGATTCGTAAATCCTACCTGGTCCCAGACCGGGGCAGAAGTTGACGGTTCGCACGCCGTTGATCTCCGTTGGCTGGTTCGGGGGCGGCAGATCGGGAGTCGCGCGGTTGACCCCAGACGTCATAGACGAGGAGCGAGATTGATTGTTTGCATGCGCAGGTGCAACGGTTAACATGGAGGGATCCAGACGGGGGCCAATGTCCAGGTCGGGGAAGGTCATGAAGAAGAGGTATCCGAACGTGGTCCCGAAGAAGGCCCCATCGACCGAGTGGAAACGACTGTTGGGCGGAGTGTACAGATCCTGGCAACTGGGGCAAAACAGCTTCACCGTCTCTTGTCCAGGGGTGTCGGAGCAGCCCACGGGTAGGACCTTGCTTCCATTGCAGTATGCGCGCGGACAGACACCGAAGTGCTGCATTTCGTACTTCTCCAGCATCTGCTGGATTCCCGGTCGCGAAGTGATGTAGCGCTGGTGGATGAGGCCGTAGAGCAGTTCCGCAGAACTTTCGATCACACTCAGGTCGCTGGCCACCCGTGCGTGTCTCCGGTCCCCAGCTCTGCGGTAGCCCGGGGGTCGCTCATCACCGAGAATCTCGTCGTCATCCTCCTCCTCCTCCTCCTCTTCCTCCTCCTCGTCTTCATCCTCCTCCGGTTCCACATCCAGAATCATCTCGAGCGCCTCCTTGTACATGGGCACCTGCGACTGCAGACCGGTGAGGTTGAAGTCATCCTCGATAAAGTCCTCCGACACCTCTGCGAAGAATTCATGACCCATCAGCGAGCAGAACGAGGAGATCCATGACTCCGGGGCCCCTTCCGAAGACGACATATCGAACGAGCCGGACTCGGATGACGACGAGGCTGATGATTCAGACAGTTGACTCAGATCCAGCCTGTCCAGGCCGTCGGCCAACGCCGAACCTGTCTCTCTCGACACGTTGCCGAGTAGCGAAACGGAAAACGATGGATCGAACGAAGATGGAAGCTCTTCGCTTTGATTTCTTCGACACTGGCCGATCGGGCACAGACCTGAGCCCAATTGCCTCGGAAGATCGATGTCGAAAGAGCCGTAAATTCAAGGTGGACCGTAACTCGGTCTGGGGTTGGTCATGAAATAAGGGAAGAGGTCGGGTTTCTCGTCTACCTGATAAATGGAGGGGTCATCCCAATGTGCGGGACGGCGGATCGTTGTGCGATGAGGAAGTGTTGACGAGATAGCGCTTGAAGGTGGAAAACCCCCCACTAACTCTGTACTGCTCTCAAACAGAGGTCGAAGTCATCCGGTGGGTTCTGGAGTACAAATCCTAGCAAATTTCTTTCACCTGCAGCGAGCGGCCAACACAATCGATTGTAGAGCGGAAACACCAGACCTCTCTGGTCTCTTTCTTCGTGGTGGTGCGGTGGTCGATCAACGGCGTCGAGGGAATCCCGAGTTTAGGTTCGTGGGGCGGTGGGAAAAACGTCGCTTTCGTTACCTCTGCTATAATCGAGAGGACTTGACAGCCGTCGCGAGACGGAGATGCGTGAAAACTGGCTTTCCTGTCCGAGAATGATGGTCACAACATTTAAACACCAGACCTTGATGCCCCTGATGACTGGCAGTGTTGTGTCGGTACTGCGTAGGATGTTCAAGTGGCTGGATTCACTCTAAGTCACGTGCATGATTCAGTCCCATACAGATGACTCTTCCGACAAGCCTACATCTACAGTGAATATCATCTCGAAAAGCGAGCATAATTGAATCCAAATCATTATATTCCCATCATGAATCCCCTGCTTATCGTCACGGTAGGATCTTCCTGATATATACATGATTCATGCGACGTAATACTGTCAAGAAATCAAAACAGCTCCCTGATGACCCTGGAGAGCTCTCCATCATCGCCAAAAATGCCTGAAAGCCCCTCGCCCGTGTTTTGAAGCTCTCCATCATGACCCACAAATCCGGGTATACCTTCGGGTGCTGTACCGGATGCAATGAAGCTGCTGAAGCCTCCAACAGCCTCGAAGAGGTTGGTGAGCTCATGACTCATCTGCAGTCCGTTCAAAGGACTGTTTCCCAGTTCATTGACCCCATTCATCGGACCATAGACGGACAGATCCTCGATCGAATGGCCCGCCAGGCCCGCCATGGCGACAGCAGCCGTTGAATGGGGGTCGTTCGAGTCCGAGCCGAACGGGCGCGCCAGCACGCCCAGCCGTTCCCCGATCATTCTCAGACTCTTGATTGTCTTCCAGAGCCGCTTTGATACGTACGATTTTGTACTGAATCCGTTGATCAGATCGAGTGCCATGTAGAACTCGTCCCGCACCTGTCGGTTGAATTCGTTTGGCGCGTGACATACGGCCAGAAAGAGCACCGCGAGAGCGGCGACAAGGAAGTAGTTGAAGGTAATTTGTTGAGTGCGATAGATGTCAGAAGCATGGTTAAGCTGTGTGAGCACTCGAACTGTATCTTTGGCGACATCCACCACCGTTTGAGCATGACCTTTGTCTTCGGCGATACTTGCAGAAGAATGTAGTACGGGCCGATAAATGAGAATCCGAAGCTGATTCATGCGCAAGTACAGCAGCACCCGTAGCCGCCGCAAACCCCGGCTGGCCGTCTCGCCATGCTTCGGAGAGTCGCCAGGGTAAAATTTCAACGCATCTGGAACCTGCTTGTACCACTGGAGAACCTGGTAGTCCAGATACCCGATCTCATCTCTGCGTATGTCTGTCGTGCCTTCAGAGCCAAGTCCGGAATACCATATCTTTGAGCTTATACGATTATATGAGATCATACACCTCAAGTAAGGCAACGATCCGTCCTAGACCTGTTAGTCAGACGTGGATGACGCGTGTCGTTCCTTGCTTTTAACTTACAGGCTCGGGGAGGTTAGGGTCGACATCCTCATCTTGAATGACAAAGGGTAGCCCGGTACCCAGACTCCAGCGTCTATCCAAACTGTAGATCGTCCAGAAGATCTTGGTGACGTCAGACCATTGATCCTCGTTCGGAAAGGATTTCATCAACGCCTCCCGTCGGTGCAGACCCAGTTCAAGGCACATACGTGCAGCGAATCCTATCACACGGTAGGCCATCGCATCGTCATCCGTGTGGAAATGGTAGGTTGCCTGTCAGGGCATTTAGCCAGGGTCTCGGGCGGGCTAGATATCATCAGAAGGACAATACATACCACCATGCCAAAGAGTTGGATGGTCTTGGTGTCGATCGGTCCCCAAAGCTTAGCCTCAATGACAGGCTTGACACTCAGGAACAGACGTTGGCCCAGATCACTTCGCCCGCTCCCCTCTATGATCAACGTTATGGCGAGAATCATCTTGAGGAGAATTGTATTATCATCATGAAGGGCATCTGAGCCCGGGAATGCTCGCTGCGCCAAGCCAGTCCGCATTGCAGCTTCCATGAAAGTATATAGGAGGTTGACTTGATTGGTCACCTTCTCAATATCCACAAGCGGATACATAATACCGACTTCTTCCTCGTAGACGTGACATAGTCGTAGAGCCTCCTCCCGTTTGATTGCCCATATCGGATCTTTGGTCGGATGTATGGGCTGTGTAAATACAGCCTGCTGAGCAGGCGGCGAAGCGGCCGGCGTGGCTTGGGCCGTTGTCAGATCGTCATTCATGACTTCTTCGGCGGGTGCAATGCCCATGTTCTGAAGACTGGATCTGGCGACATCGAAATTGAAGGCGGAGCTAGTGGGACCATGAAACCGTAGATGTCTTACGCGAGGTCTGACGGTGGCCGCTTGCATCGGTGTAAAGACCGACTGTGAGCCATCTCGAGAGATGTTCTCGAGATTCGGCGAGTCCAAAGATGATCTTTGACTCCGAAGATCATTCAGACTGCTGAAGAGACTGTTCACCTGTTCCTGCAGAGTTGTGATCTGATCTTTCATCGAACGGAACTCTCTGTTCGGTATCATCGTTCGTCAGTCACCATACTGAGGGCAAAGTAAGCCAGACGGAAGATATAAAGGGAGAAACGTACTCGGAATCCTTGAAGTTATTGTTGCAGCAATTGGGGGCGTATCGGCCTATCGCAGAGTCATTCTCTCTCCCTTTGCGAACTCAAACTTCATATCATCGGCAGAGCGATGGAGACAGTTGCTTGAGACATAGTACTGACACTCGAGATTCAGATGGCCACAGCGTTGGCATGGCACTTGACCGTTGCACTTGATCTTGCGTCGCTTACATTCATTGCTGTAGCAAGGGACCCACGTTAGTCAAACTGTATCGGTCCAATGGCTGCTGTATCACAACTATGATAATAACCATCATGAATTTACAGCCATTCACAGAAGCAAACATGGGGTAAATTCGGAGTTTCCTCAGCCGGGATCATACCAGGCGATTGAGATGTAGCGATTCCGCTTTGTGCGCGTGTGAGTTCCGTTGGTCTGTTCCGCTTTCCTCTTTGCGCTGTCCTCAGCTGTGGCGGCATCATGGTCTGCTTTTCCCGCCTGAGGGGTGGCCATATCGACCTGAGACGACTCGGAAGCCATGTCAGCTGCTGTTAGTAAGGGCTGATCGCGTTGTTCTGCGCAGCATAAGGCAGTGAAAAGAGTGCGGAGAGATTCCTTTCATGCTCCAGCCGGGTCTCGATGACCGCGCGGGGTTTCCGTTTCCCCAGAATCTCCCAAGAGCCAATCAGCGCAGACCCTGAGTAACAAGCACATCTCTCGATTACTATAGGTAGATTATCACTAATCAAAGGTATTTAAGGTAATGACAGATTGGCATATATGACAGACATAAATCTATCTTTGAAATTCAGATCACCTAGCGCTGGATCAGATAGATCATATATAACCGCAAAATCAATCACAAGAGCATTCGATGAGCGCGAAGCAGACCCTCTCGGATAGCTGAGACTACAGTAGTTCGGGCTCCAACAAAGAACTCGACCAACCGTTGAGTATCTTTAGGATGCCTCTTGAGCCAGAACAGACTGGAAATGATTGCCACGAGCGCGAACCTCCTCAGCCCGGACTTCACCCTCTGAAGCATGAGTCCCTTGCGTGTATACTTGGCTGTCCAGTGGTGCCACACAGGAAAGGTGCATCTGAAATAGTAGTCAATCTGAGTAAATCTAGACAAGATTATCAGCGGGCGTATTCTATCGGTTGTGACTTAATCTAGTTGTAGGAGACTCACGGATAGGTGGACGAGTTCCAACCATCATCAGTCTGGTACCAGCTTGTGCAAGCTCCGCGTCGAAAGACGGTGCCTTGAAGACTTCTCTGTACTTTGTCCGTCCAGTCGCGCTCAGCATTCTCTTTCACCTCGAAAGTACTGACGCGTCCCTCGAGAATGGGTTTGATGAAGTTCAGAGAGTAATTGACGGCATTCTCGATCGCGAAAATGACGCTGGTATGACCGGTTGCTGTGTTCGGGCCAAACGAAAGGAAGAGATTCGGCATATGGTCCATGGCAATGCCCAGGTATGCTTGTGCTCCTCCACGCTCCTCCCAAATCTCGTCAAGGGTCTTGCCGCGCCGACCGACAACCCGAAGCGGATGAAGCCATTTATGGGTCTCGTATCCGTTGGCCAAAACGATGACATCCGCCGGTATCTGTCTCACTTCATCCGTTGACTCCTTACTTTCCGGCGGATAATGTCGTCCAGGGCCTAATGTCACGCTTCTGGCTTGGACGCTTGTCAAGGGCTTCGTTGTCAGCTCAAAATTGGGCGCATGAATGCTGGCATAGTAGTTGGACTCGACAATCCGTCGCTTGCAGCCCAGGCTGTAGTTGGGAGTGAGTATGTCGTGATATTTCTCTGGGGCAGTCGCTCGCATGTGCTCTAGGAATGTCGTCTCCAACTTGGAACGATGCTGACGGGCAAACTCATTGTCCCTGAAGATTCTGATAAAATCCCACTCCAGTAAGAAGAACAGCAAAGCCCTTGCACCAAAAGCAAGACCAGGGAAGTTTCTGAACAATGACGGCGTGTACTTCTCCCATTTCTCGAGCGACTTCGGCGGCACCAAATCGGGCATGAACCAGGGAGGCGACCTCATGAGCTGCGTGACTGACTTAACCTTGGACTCGGGTTTCGTCAGCTCAGGGACTACCTGGGCTGCACTGCAGCCAGAGCCAATGATAACAACATCTTTCCCGGACAGATCAACGTCGCTCTTCCATCGAGCCGTATGAATAACCTCGCCTTCGAACGTCTCAATCCCGGGTACGTTTTCAGGCCATTTCTTAGGCTCTACAAGCACACCCACACCGCTGACAACAATCTTTGCTCGCACAATCTCTGTTTTGACATAGACACTGCGCTCGCCTTCTTTGGCTATTCGCGCATTTCTTTCCCCTTCGGACAAGTCTCCGGTGCCAGGAACAAGATGCAATAACGTGACTTCCCACTCTTCCGCATCCTCTAGCCATCGCAGTTCTTTGACATTTGTGTTGAGTTGGATCTTGTCCACTATCTCATATTTCTCGCAGACATCAGCCAGGTACTGAACAATCTCCGGTCCGGGGGGTCGTAGCGTAGTCCAGTCTTTCTTCGGAGCAAACGAGAAAGAGTACAACAGCGCGGGCCTAACAAACACTCAGCAAAAGAGCCGCCTTGACAAAGCATATATGCCTCAGGATGTCCATACACGTCGCATGCAACTCCTGGGTAGCGGTTGATCCACCAAGTACCTCCAATACCCGATTGTCTTTCAAAGATTCTGAATTGATCAAAACCCAGCGCTTCCTTGAGTCGACATCCTGTAGCAATGCCGGACTCCCCTGCACCAATCACAACAACAGGGTAGTAGGTGTGAGCATCTTTGCCATATGCGTGGCGTTTGTGAATCCTTGCCACCGAAGAAGGCATCTTGTCTGATCAGTTGCAATAGATTTGAAGGCACAGAGCGGCAATACAGAGTAGCAAGAAAGCGTAGAACTCCCTAGAGACTTGAAATGATAGAGATAGGCAGCAGAGGAGGGTTGTTAAGCTATGTGCAAGCTCACACTCCTAGGGGGTTCATTGGGCTTCCTCAGGATGGATAGCCATGCTAATGCAAACCCCCTCATTATTATCATTTATTCATCATAAAGCCGAGAATGCTGGTTAGCATGGATCTCAAATGAGGGGAAGCCAAGATCGACAGAGTCACAGGAGCTGAGAGCATCGGCCTCGCCTCGGTTGTTCGCTGGATTTGACAATCAGACCATAAACGCGTGATTGGATTGACCGAGGAAACATCATGATTTGTGCTCCTCATTCAGTAAGGCGAAGAGTCACGTCCGGCAATCGAGAACCATTGCTTTTCTGAGGAGCTAGAGATCATGCAATCATCGATAACAATGAATCCAAGTGGTCTCGTCATATTCTCCACAGAAGCAGTCAACCCTGTGGGGGATAGTTCAATGTGGTCCATGGATTGGACCTGACATGAAGATCCACAGCGACTAGTTTCTGTCAAATGTCACCTTCTTGTCGAGCTGTGTAGCCGGCACAATACTCTGATTCCGCCTTGTGATACAAACATTCCTTGACCCTCCAGAAAAGATAACGACTCTCTGAAATCAACCGAAGTGGCAGCGTCGGCATAATTGTTCTGGATGAAGTATCAGCAATGGCTGCTTTCCTGCAATAACCTGCGGGTTCTCAAGCGGCCATCACGCGTCGTCCGGAGCAAACAACCGGGGTCAATATCCTTGATCAGCTCCAAGGATGGACCCTCGATATCTTCGACCTCTCAGAACCGATACCATCCCCTGAAACCCCTCCGCGAGGTGAAAATTGATGAATTCCGCAATAACTACTTCCATCCAGAATTCCCAGTCCTTTTCCCCCGCCGGCACTTTCGCGACCTTCCCGCATGCGAGCGATGGTTCCAAACGGTCCCTTCCTCCAACGGCCATGACCGCAGATTAAACACGGCTTATCTACAAGAGCATGGCGGTGATGCATTCGTTCCTCTCGAGCTCACGCAATCGCCTGCAGAAACCAAGTCGCCGGGCGCAACAGTACCTGAATTGAGCGAGCTGAGCTTCCGGCAGTTCCACGCCCCATTGAGTCTGTTTCTAGATTGGATGGAATTGCAGTCGCAGGCTACGCGACTCTACCTGGCGCAATGCCAGCTGCTCGATCTTCCGCCGGTTCTTCGCGATGATTTCCCCACCCCCGAACTCGTTCTACAGGCGGGCAAAGGGGACGTCTACGATACGAACGTATGGATCGGGCACCCGCCTACATATACTCCTTTGCACCGTGATCCGAACCCGAATCTCTTCGTGCAAATCGCCGGACAAAAGGTCGTACGACTTTTGGCTCCCGATGCCGGCCAGAGGATATTCGCATCGGTCAGGCGCCGATTGGGTCGGAGTGGGGATCGCGAGGCAGCTGCCTTTCGGGGTGAGGAGATGATGCAGGGACAGGAAAGGACTTTGCTGGAGCAGGCAGTTTGGGCTGATGCAGACTCGGACGATATCAATAATGTGCCAGATGAAGGATACGAAGCCCATTTGGAAACTGGTGACGGGCTATTTATACCAAAGGGATGGTGGCATAGCATCAAGGGCGTTGGAGAGGGCGTTACTGCGTCGGTGAGTTCCATCTACCCTCTGCTTGAGTGCGTACTGCCCTAACCCATAAAATCAGGTCAATTGGTGGTTTCGGTAGAAGAAGCTGCAAAGAATCCTCGTAGTCCAGATTGACTGTGCTGTATAACGCCATGGAAATCGTTTCTCAACATTAGACCTAGATCTAGATAGAAATTCATGATTATATCTGAGCATAACGCACAATCATGGTCGTGGTCTCCAAAGCATCATTCTAGAATCCTCTCCGCGGATCCTCTCTCCACTTTACCTCTCCAGAACGTCAATCTCCGCTATAATAATTCCCTCGTCTCTCAAACCTACCACTCGAACCCCCATTCTAATCCTCCAGAAATGTACACGTCGCTCAAAGCCATATCCCGCGCTACACTCCTCCATCTCAGTCTGAACCCTCTTTTCTCAACCGGAGTCCGCGCCGCAACCACAACATCACCAAACCTCCGCTCATACTCAGCATTATATCCCACCTGCCCATCCGGCAACCTCTACCATCCTACGCATTTGAGCTCAATCCACATTCGTAACCAAGAACATACCTACTCTACATCCGCGACCATGTCCGCCGACCCTGCCTCTCCCTCCAACGAGAGCCAGTCGCAACACCAACGTCAGCAAGAAGAAGAGCAGGAGCAGGAGCAGGAACAAAACAAACCTATCCTTGCGCTGCCAGAGGCTCCCTCCGCAGAATCGCAAGCCACGCAGATCGACGTTAGTGGTGGGGGGTCGACGGTGAAGCTCGACGCTCTGGGTCCACTGGTGGTCAACCAGGACGGGTCGCTGTCGCGGATCGCCAACTGGGAGCAGATGACTGAAATCGAGAGGCGGAATACACTGCGCGTCCTCGGCAAGCGGAATAAATTAAGGTTAAATGCGTTGAAGGGGGCAGAGGGTGAGAAGGAGGAGGGCAAATGATTGACTGCGAGTATGGCGTTTGTCGATGGGCTAAAGGATGATACATTTCATGTCTCTATTGTACTATAGATTTTCCCGATTACTCGAATAGTTCTTTGTACAGTTCCTCACAACAACCATTTACTCATTCCAATCATAACATCATCGTAACACAGACATTCAATGTTACGGCATCTAGGGCATGCAGGTATATAACAGGTCGCCTATGCGAAAAGCCAATCACCGAACCTCGAGAGTGCGTTGCTAGAAACACAAATCAGTTGGCCTGCTCGAGAAGATTCGGGGTTTCGACAAAACTATCCTTACCTCGGTTTTTCGGGAATGTAGTTTCTCTCGTACTCCTCGATCTCGTCGAGGCCTGTCACTAGATCAACTTCTTCCGGCTTCTTCGTCTTTGTGCGGCGAACAAACTTCCAAGCGCAGTAAAGAACCGGAAACACTCCAATCATCGTATAAGAGAAGAGGAAGGTCGGGATATCCCAATTTCCAGGCAGAAAGACAGTGTAGCCGCCTACAAACGCCATGACCGTTGTGGAAACCAGAGCAATGTAGGCAGTATAGGGTTGCCACCAACTCTGGTATGGGAGCGATTCGCGTGGAATACCTTGTGCTATTATAGCTTTCCGGAAACGAGTATAGGTAAAAGTGATGACCGAGAAGTTGATGAGTTGCGAAGCAGTTACCTACCAACTGTTAGAGATATTTTTCTTGAAATAGAAAGCCAAGGTGGTCCAAGTCTCATAAGCAACACGTACCAGATTAACGAACCAGTCCAGGACGACAGATGCGCTGTTTGACACTTGGAGGAAGGCAAGAAGCGCAATCAGCATAACAACTGAGACACAGTATATTGGTACACCCCGCTTGGTGCACTTGGTGAACAGTCGTGGCGCCTTGCCATCTAGGGCAAGCCCATACAAACTTCTGCTGGCGCAATAAACATAACTATTCCCAGCACTGAACGCTGCCAGCAGGATCATGGCGTTGACAATGTGGGGGAGGATAGGGATCCCAAGTCTGTCCATCGCGATAACATAAGGAGACGCAGCGGCGCCAGGCAGGCCCTTGGCGAAGGCTTCGGCCATAGTAGGATCATTGTGGGGGACGAGAATGCCGATACATAAGACACCCAGAACGAAGAAAGCTGTGAGTCGATAGAATATGCCGTTATACGTCCTGGGCAAGACTGCGCGGGGGTTGACTGCCTCTCCAGCTGCCATCGACACATAATCAGGTCCTGCAATGGTGAAACTGGCCTGGATCAGACATGCAAGAAAACCAAGCCATCGGCCAAGATCACCCGTCTCGTAATATTCTGCAAAGGCGCCCGGCTCGTTCCAATATCTAAATCCGAATCGATCTCCCTTCGGGTTCCCGCCCAGCATCACAATGAATGTGAAGATAATCAATCCAATGCTGAGCAACACTTTCGAAAGAGCAAGCCAAAACTCGGATTCGCCGTACCATTGGACTGCAAAGACGTTAAGAAGTCTATCGTGCTAGAAGTCAACACTCAGTCGATTCAAGATGGGCAGGGGGTTTTGCCGTCCCATAAGACGGTTACGTACATGTAAAGGACAAGCACGATGACGATGATCCCGCTCACTGGAATGACGTCGCTCCAGTAGTTTATGATCATATTACACGCGGTGATCTCAAAGGGCACCAGGGCAGCCTCAAAGATGAAGAAGTTGTAGCCGGCGGCAACCCCAAAGGCTTCATCGACATAGCGGCCGGCAAATCGAATAAAGGGTGATGAAATTGGCAGGTACGTGACCATCTCAGCCAGACCTAGGATGCAACCTGTATTTAGCACGGACTACATAGCCAAGGAGCCGTATTGTAGAATAGCCAGGAAGTCGCATGGGGAGGGTGAAGGAGAAAGGGGGGATTGTCGCTTCAGGGCACTTCAACCGTACGAAGAGGAGAGCTGCTTCTGGAGCGCAGGTTGCAGGCGGCATTGCTGGGGAGAGCAATTCAGGAGCTTGAAGACTGGGATTGCGTACAAACAGTAATGGCCAGGATGACGAAACACCTAGAAGTAGATACGTATAAGATTTCATGGCTTGATAAAAGGGCAGTCAAGCAAAATGCGGGTGCGAAGTATGACACTGCTCTGCACTAAAGCACAAATTGAGCTTCCTGGGCTCTTCGTCGTATCTTCTCGGCATCAATTGAATTTGTCGCGACATTTCTGATGTGGTCTCGCGCAAAAGATCTTGCTCTTTTTTGTAGCCATGGGCTCACCCAGTGGAGACCCCTGAAAGGCCAAGATCGCAACAACCAGAGGCAAATAAAGGGAAAAGAGCTTATCAAATTGGGCATCTAATACTTACCAGATTGAAAACGCCAGGAACAGACTGCCAGGGCCACCCTTAATCAGACTTTTACCAATCTGGACGTAGAGAGCTGTACCAATCGTACCACCGATACCGATAAGCTGGATATGCCTGGGCTTCAGCTTCCGCTGCGTATGATCATAAGTGGGCTTCGACGATGCGCCACCTATCGATTCTTCACTATCCTCGATAACAGTAGTCTTCTCTGAGTAAGTCGTAGGACAGCCATTTCTTTTTGTCAAATTGGCTGTGGCCAAGTCGAAGTCGTCCGTCGAGTGGGGAGATCTATCATTGCTGATAGCCGTGGGCAATGATGTCTGATGGAAACTCGTGTCTGGATTAGGCTTCGACATAATTGACGACAAGTAACAACCTCTTTGTACACATCCCAAGCATGGAGAAGATCCAAAAAGGGCGAGGTAAAGTGCAATAACCGCAAAGCCAAGTTTCCAAGAACAAGGGAAAAAAAAAAAAAATGTCACGGTGAGAAAAGCGACACTAACGCATTAAGCAGATAGAGTAAAAGACCATGTGAGATTAAAATGCGGGACACTTTGGAGATAATAAGTCAGCTAGGCCAAAGCCGGCATTGAAGTAGTATCACCAACGACCCACGAAAGTGAATCAGCTCGACCATTTTCTCGCCCAAGGAAAGACCGGAAGCTTTTCACCATTATTGCGCTTGCCATTGTAATAAGGAGAATAAGATTGGATCAGTGGTGGCAGCAAATCATCGTCCTGGAAAACGTTCCTCTAGGTCTGAAGCCGTTCTGAGGACTCCATGAAATCCCCACAGTCATAGTCCCCATAAAAATCGACGGGTGTGCCGTGGGAGGTACTGATAGACATTTATCTGTCCATCACGCATCAAGGCAGCAGGGGGAATTTCAGCATCTTTCTCTCTCAGCTTAATATTCCCGAGTGTAGTAGCAGGACGGAGTAGCCGTTAGTAACTCTTGGAAAGTCATGGCAGAGGCAAACGGACGGCAATGGAGGAAATCATCGAGATGTACGTAGTTGGTGGGATGGAGGGGCATGGGATGCAACAAGGAAACTGTGCCTGTTTGGGCTAGTAAACGTAACCAAGAGGCTGAGATTAGTTTAGTTGATTCACCATAGATCCATATCAGAGCCCAAGTGTCCTGCTGTGGGCCTTCATCTTGGGGAAAAGTTAACCTCCATTTTGCCGAGGTTCAACAGAGTTACAAAAGAAGAAGAAGAAAGGAAGAGTGGGATGAGGAATTGGATAAACATCATGGCTGTTCAAGAAGATATGGCAGAGTACCAGTAGAATCTGACCCAACAATGACAATTTCTGAGACCTGATGCGAATAGCAAGATTGACATGGGATGATGGCACGGTGGCTGACAACAAAATGCCTAAGGAATCGACTACTACCGGATTAGTCTCAGCCACTGCATCAAACCGACAAGACCTCAATTTCGACCTCGACATCAAAAGAACTTATGGATACATGGCTACTCTGCGGAAGAAAAAAGGTCATTTGTCATTATTTAATACTAGAAGTTTGTCACATAAAAATTGTCTGCATCTGGACAATTTGCTGAACAAGCAACATGAAGAGCCCATCCTTCGCCCGCATTTAGAAAACAACAGCCAACATAATATCTCAATCTAAACCGCATGCAAAGTCATAAATTATATTTTCAGTCAGGTCGATCATCATCCAAGCCCTAATAACTGTCGGAGCAATCAAAATAAGCATCAGAAATAAAGAGGTCTCCAAGACCCCGATTCCAAAAAGCCTCGTCTCAGGTCTGTATAGACGAATCCACATATGGAGGGGGCCTCCCTGTCGTCAAGTGACTCCGATCTTTTCCATCTGGCGATGGCTTCTCTCCGAGTTCGCTAGGTGGGAAAAAGCAATCGTTGTCTTCGAAGTAGAGGTAGTGAGATAGGTCCGAGTCCACGGAAGTCGTCCTACTGCGCCCTTGACCATCCGGTCCGGTTTCTGTAGATGACCTACGATTCGAGGGACGAGGAGGTTTTGTTTGACAGTCTCTGGAAAGATTTTCCTGGCAAGAGGACATTTCGATGATATTGCTCTTGAGAACTATATCGATATGATAGATGATAGCTCTGAGCTGAAGTAAATGATCTTCCGAATGTCATCGAAAGTTGAGGTTGCCCCGCATTGTGCAACGGTAAAAAGCAAGGGACATCAGCTAATGTCATTATATTGAGCCCATACATAACACCTCACATTAATAAACAGTTTAAATACAACCTGGGCTGTTCTGCGCAGCTGACTGGTATATGCCGTGACGTCATCTTCACATGGATATACTTTGTACATTAATAGAGGCAATGGGTGATGGTCTCTACCTCTCGGTATGTGTATCGAATAAATCCGAAGATACATTGACAGGAGAGATACTTACGCTTTCATTCTTGAAACAATTTGATCATCTCCTTTACTCTAAGAATTCTATCGGAGCCTTTGTCTACTTCAAAGCAACATTTATCCTTCCACAAGGAAATCATTGACATGTCCATGAACAATCATCAATTGTTACTTAGAGCAAGAGCAAGAGACACTATAAACCACAGGATCAAAGAGAGTTGACGTACTAAGCATCCCAGGATCAGAGGCATATACACGGCACTTGGAGACATAGCACAGAAGACTACCTCAGGGA